TAAGGGAAACCATGGGACTTATGTTTCTTTGGGCCTGGCTTACTTCACTTAATATAATTTTTTCCAAGTTTTTCCATTTCCTAACAAATGGGGCAATGTCTTTCTTTCTGATGGAGGCATAGAATCCATATAATTTGAAAGAGGGAAAATCTTGAAGCAGATGAATCCCAAGATGCCCAAAATTCTATCCATAATTAATCAAAATGGTGATAACCAGAGCTACCATTTATTGAGTGTCTACTACCTGGCAGAAAGTATGCATCAAATATTAATGGTTTGGTTGGGTACTGATGGATCACACTTGTAATTATAGCTACTTAAGAGGCAGAGACATGAGGACCAAGGTTCAAAGGCAGCCCTGGCAAAAAAATCTGTGAGACTTATCTCCAATTAACCAGAAAAAAGCCAGAAATGGAAGCACAGCTTAAGTGGTAGAGTGCTACTTGTGAGTGAAAGAGCCAAGCAATACCACAAGGCCCTGAGTTTATGCCCTAATACCAGCATACACCTACACAAAAGAAATAAAGAAAAATATTAATAATTTATTTTTTTGATCAGTAAGCTTAAATGCCTTTATTAGACTTGCTAAATCTCATTTGTTAATGGTGCATGGACACTGATCTATGGTCAATGAGAAATTTAAATAAAGCATTGATTATATTTGGGTTGCAATAAAATCACATAACTAAGTTGGTAATATAATTGTAGAATATAAGGATGTAAATCAGAGGTTGCACTTCTTTCAGTTCTGACTCCCTACATTTTTTATTAAGTTTTCATTGCTCTTTGATAATTTAGACATGGGAAATTGGAGGCTCAGAGATGCTAAAAAAAAATACTAGCTCCAGGTCACAGTACTACATTGTTAACTCATACAAGATTCTAACCCAGCTTTGTCTGACCCAAAATTTGTCTACTACATTTGATTGAAGAATGGATAGAGAGGATGAAGAAGGTTCTCATGAAAAATGAGAATTGAAAAGGGAGGGTTCCACTTGAGTGAGCATATGGCTGCCTTTGTTCCTGATTTTGTCTTCTGTTCTTACCTTTAGCAGTTTGTTTATTGCTAAGAAATCTGCAGACTGTTTCAATATAGCTATCATCGTAGTAGCCAGGGTTTCATGTATTAGCTGGGCCTGAAGAACATTTGGTTTCTCAGGTCGGAAGCTATACTGTAAACCAAGAAAATGAATTGTAAGACACAACTGTCCCATAAAACATGCCACCCACAAGAAAGCCTATTTCACAAACCTTTATGAAGGATCTTAAATAACTATCCAAGCCTTCTTCATGGCATTTTGATACAATATGTAAGAGGACCCTGAAATGATATTCACAGAAGTCAGTATGTCATGCTACAGTTCATTACCAGAGTTTGACTGTTAAATAACACCATTATGACTAACCCTAGACATACCTAGCACTCCTCCTTAAAAGTGAGACAATTGCATAAACAATAGTTCAAGTCTAACAATGATTTTAGCACCTAATATGCTCAATGTCATAAAATGCATCTCCTGGTTCAAGGCCACGTGCTGATATTCATGCCTACAATCCTGTCTACTCAGGAGATGGAGACTGTGAGGATCACAGTGTGAGGCCAGGCTAGGCAAAAAGTTCATGAGATACCTTCTCAACCAATAACTGGGTGCCATGCACCTGTCATCTCAGTTACAAGGGAGGCTGAGATCAGGAAGGTCACCATTTCAGGCTAGTCAGGCTAAAAAGTTCATGAGACCCCGATCTCAATACAAAGAGCTGAACATGGGAGAGAGCCTGTCTCTCATCCTGGCTACAGAGGAAAGCATAAAATAGTAGGATCACTGTTCAGGCTAGATAGGCAAAAAAAACAAAAAACAAAAAACAAGTGATAGCCTATGTCAAAAGTAAACAGAACAAAAAGGGCTGGAAGTGTGGCTTCAGTGGTTGGTAGAGTATTTGCCTTACAAGAGCAAAGCACCAAGCTCAAATTCTAGTACTTCAAATAATAACAACAACAATAATAATTTATTTCCTGGTTCAAAAGAGGGATACTTTTATTTGGGCCCCTTTCATGTTTCTTCTCCTTTCTAAAACTATGTATGCATTTGAATTATGGCCTTAAAGTAAAAGACCTTAAAGTAAATATTGAAATTCTTTCCAGTGAGAATAAAAGGAAAAGCTTAGAAAGATGAAATGGAAAACATACCAACCAATGAGGAAAAAGGCTAGGGACATGTAGGAAAATCATAAGTAAATATAAAATTCATACAAAGATTTAAAGTTAAGAGATGAGCAAAGTTTCTCAAATACCCACAAGCATCCGAATCACACAGGAGGCTTCTTACCAGGTTGCCTGGCTCCACTCCCAGAATTTCTAATTTTGTAGCTGAGAGGTGAAGTTAATGGTGAGTATTTTCACTAATTTCACTCCCAGGTGATACTGGTGCTGCTGGGCTGGGAACCACATTTTGGGGTTAGAGCCATGCTTCTAAAATTTTCAACTTGATGGTCCCCAGCAGCAGAGATAAACAGTGTGCAAGTATAGGTAGCCTGAGGCCCAGGGGAAGAGGCTGTGACAAGCTGTGACAAGCTCAGGCCAGAGTTATCCAACACTGAGCTTACAATTTTTGAAAGTCTTCTTATTTGAATGCCAAAAAGCAAGAGTATTTGCCTTCTACTCTCTGTCTTGGTTAGTTTTTGTATAAAAATAATGTGCTAGCTTGGTGCTGGTGGCTCATGCCTGTAATCCTAGCTATCCAAGAGGCTGAGATCTGAGGATCATGGTTCTAAGCCAGCCCGGGCAGGAAAGTTCCTGAGACTCTTAGCTCCAATTAACCGCCTAAAAAATAGGAAGTGGAGCTGTGGTAGAGTGCTAGCCTTCAGCAAAAAACAAACAACAGCAACAAAAAAAACTCAGGGACAATGCTCAAGCCCTAGTTTCAAGCTCCAGGATCCACACGAAAAAGAGAGAAAAAAATAGCCTTTATTCTTTCAAGTCAAAATTGATAGCCTAGCGCCACATTCTGTCCAAAATGAGAAATGCTAGTCATATGTGGCTGTTTAAATCAACTCGAACTAAAGTAAAACAGAATTAAAAATTTAGAACCAGGCATAGGTGGCTCACACCTATAATCCTAGCTACTCAGGAGGCTGAGATCTGAGAATCATGATCCGAAGCTAACCTCAGCAGAAATTGTAAAATTCTTATTTTCAATTAATCACTCAATCAGATGTGGCACCGTGACTCCATTGTGGCAGAGTGCTAGCCCTGAGAAAAAAAGAGTTCAGGGACAGCACCCAGGTTCCAATTCAAGCCCCACAACTGACCAAAAAAGCCCTTAGCTGAACTAACCATACTTCAAGTGCATGAGAGCCAACAAGTGAATAGTAGCTAATATACTGGACAGCACCAACACAGAACATTTACATCACTGGAACTGATGTAAACTGAAAATATGTTTGTGTTCATGAATATACAAAGTCACTATTATAGGACATGAAGGGAGAAGTAAATAGCAATAAAATAATACTAGGAAACTTCAACATCCCACTTTCAAAAATGGAATAGTCAGCCAGACAGAAAATTAATAAGGCAATATTAGACTTGAACTACACTTAGGCCAAATGGGCCTAACTAATAGTCTTATAGAGAACTTCCATTTACAGCAACAGAATATATTCTTCTCAGGTGTACAAAAAATATTCACCAGGATAGACCACACATTAGGCCACAAATAAGTGTTAATAAATTGAAGAAAACTGAAATTGTATCAAGTACTGTTTTCAACAACATTAGCACAAAATTCAAAACTGGTAACAGGAGGAACTGTGGAAAATTCAAAACTATGTGGAAATTAAACAACATGCTCTTGAACAACTAGCCAAAATAAAGGAATCAAAGGGCAATTTAAAAATATCTCGACAAATAACAATGAAAGTACAGCATACCCAAACTAGTAGAATGAAAAAGAAAAAAAAAGGCAAAGCAATTCCAGGAAGGAAAATTGATAGCAATGGATGCTTCCATGGGTGGGGGGGGGGAAGGAAAGAGAGAGAGAGAGAGAAAGATCTTGAATAAATAGCTTCTTTGTATTTTAACACCGAAACTCACATGGTACAGTTGATAGGAACATCATCTTCTTGGGTCATATTTGTGAGAACTCGGAAGAGTTGCATAAGAATTACAGGTAGAAACTGTATCATGACTTGGATCTCCATGGCATGCAAACACTAAAATAAGTCATTATTAGTTATGAAAACAAACAGAAATATGATATAATTTGCAAATGTGAAATAGCAAAAAATTTAGTTAATGAAAAACATATTCAATAGACTATCAGCTCTGTTGAATGCAAATTTCCTGGAACAGGGGACCTTTGTTAATGCCTGAATCCATGCCTTTATTTCGAATTGAAATTTGGTGAGTTGACTTAATATTAAATGCTTAACTGAAAATGACACATGTAATTGGGATATATAGGATTTTTTTAAAAAGTCACTGGACTTGGCAAGCCAATGTTCAATGGTGTGTAGGGAGCAGCGGGAAGAAGACGTGCTTGGAGATATACCCACTTGTCCCCTACATTCTCTGTTTTCCAGAAGAATATGGGCTCCCACTGAATCTGGTGAGAGATCAGGAAGGCTTCAGTGAAGTACACTTGTATATAAAATTGGCTCCACACCAGCAGAATCTCCAAAACTGAAATCCTTTTGCATTTTAACATCATCGTACTACACTTCTTCAAAGTGCTAACACTGTCTCTAATAATAGATGTGTTACACACATTACAATGAAGAAGTATGTATGTGTATATATATATATATATATATATCAGTACTGCAAGCAGTAACATTTAAAAACATAAAAAAACTTCTCTTTTCCTCTGTCTACATTCACTCACTTGATCATTCAGCCAGCCAGCATCCCACCTTCCCCTCCCCAAATCAATCCTCCTTGGAGCACTTTCTATTATAAATGCCCTGTGTGGTGTTGTGGGAAATACAGAGATTGACAAGCCAAGGCTTTGCACTTCAGGAGCTCATCATTGTTCTTTAACAGTCCTCTTGACTTTTGTTTCCACCTTCCATCCTTATTCTCCCCACCCTTTTGCAAGGCTCTTATGCCAACAGTGACATCCAAGATCTCTGAGCTGGTTCTTTCTCATCAGATGCATACATGGTCAGTCCTTCCAGATTGTTCTTCCTATATGCCCCTCTGTCCATCCTCCCTGTCTTTGCCCCTCTTCAGGATGCTCTACCTATAACCAAAATACTAAATAACTTTCTACTAGGTATCAGTACAGTTTCTCTTTCCTCCCAATGTATCTCTTATTATCTTCCACTGTATTCCAATGCTGATTAGACTACCTCCTACCAAGATTTTTTTGCAGTGCTAAGGATGGCACCCAGGGCCATATACATGTGAAGCAAGTGATCTACTAGTAAGCTACACCCCTACAACTCAATATTTTATTTTAGTGCCAGTCCTAGGGCTTGAACTCAAGGCTTGGGTACTGCCACAGTTCCACTTTTGGCTTTTTTTTAAAATTGGACATAATAGTCTCACAGACTTTACTTCCCCGGCTGGCTTTAAACTGCTTCAGATCACAGTCTCTTGAGTAGCTAGGATTACATGTGTGAACCACTGGTACTAGCTCAAGATTTTATTTTTGATGCTTCCCTATTACCTGGGGCAGTGGTTCTCAACCAGAGGCCACTGTTCCCCCCAGGAGATTTGGCAATGTCTAGAGACACTTTTTGGTTGTCACAAGTGGAGGAAGGTGCTACCAAGCTCTGGTGGGCAAAGGTATCTTACTATATACAGGAGACTCTACAATAAAGGCTTATCCTGCTAACTGTCAATAGTGCCAGAGTTGAGAAAGCCTGGCCTGGGGAATTAGTAAGTTCAAGTGACATACCATCCAGCCTACATTTTCAGCTTGTGTCTATACTATTCTTTCTTGTGTCTACACTAATCTATCTGACATTGTCCTACCTGTGTGCCGTTATTCAGATTTTAGAAAATCCTAGCTATCCTTCCAAGACAAGTTCAAACCTCTACTCCAGTGAAACCATTTATTTTCTCATTCAAGAAAGGCACATTGAACATACTTCCAGTATTCAAACATATCAAAAAGAAGACACTATGCTAAGTACCAGTGCCCACACTACAACCCTAGCTACTCAGAAGGCTGAGATATGAAGATTAAGGTTCAGAGGCAGCCCAGGCAGAAGAGCCAAAAAAAGCTAGAAATGAAGGTATAGCTCAAGTGGTAGAGTGTCAGCTGGTGAGCAAGAAAATCTAGTGAGAGCTCAAGGCCCTGCTACAAGTCTGGAAGACAGACAGACAGACAGACAGGCAGACAGGCAGGCAGGCAGGCAGACAGACAGAGACACAGACGTACAGACACACAGACACAGACACAGGCACACCAAAACTAAATCACTTCAGTGTAAACAGAAAATGGTATGGCAGTGGCATCTACAAAATTCATAAAGGACGAATAACTGAGCTACAGTGGGAGAAAATATTAGGTAAGGCTCCAGGGAGCAGGCAAATCAGGGACTAGGCAAGATGATGGCATGGAGAAAGAGACAGGCATTCCATGCAGGAAGGATCTCCCTGCTACCAGTATTGCTTCTATTTAATTTATTCTCAACATAGCAGCCAGAATGTTCTTTTTGAAATGCAAATTGGATAATGCCATCTTTTCCTGTTCAAAACAAAACAAACACCATAAGCAAAGAGCTATCATCAGCTTCCCTTACCTACGCATGTACTCAAACTTGCTCAGCTCTTGGCAACAAACACCCCTCCACTATGTGCTGTACTCCAGCTATGCTGTCTTTTCTTCTGTCCTGCAAACACACCAGTGAAAGATATTTACACCTACCACTGCGTTCTATCATCACCCATGGCTGTCTTCTCCTGTTTCTTTTCAGCTCAAAATGACAGTGTCATTATATGGCTCATGCCTATACTCTTAGCTACTAAGGGGGCTGAGATCTGAGGATCATAGTTCAAAGCCTGCTTGGGCAGAAAAGTCCCTGAGAATCTTATCTTCATTTAGCTACTAGAAAACCAGAAGTGGAGCTGTGGCTCAAAGTTGTACAGTGCTAGACTTGAGCAAGAAAATCTCAGGGACAGTACTGAGGCTCTGAGTTCAAGTCCCATGACCAACAACAATATTTTGGGGGGGGTCCGGTTGTGAGGCCTGAACTCTGGGCCTGGGCGCTGTCCCTCAGCTCTTTACCTCAAGGCTAGCACTCTACCACTTGAGCCACAGCACCACTTCCGGCTTTTTTCTCTGCTTATGTGGTGCTGAGGAATCGAACCCAGGGCCTCATGTATGCAAGGCAAGCGCTCTACCACTGAGCCACCTTCCCAGCCCCCATCAACAATTTTAAAAGACAGTGTTTCAGACAGCTTTCCATGACAAGTCTGTCTAGAATGTACACCTGGTCCTTTGAAATCCCGTGAACTAATTCTATTTTCCTTCCAGCATTCACTTCTACCTGAAGTTACTCATATCTTTATAATCTATCTAAACATCAATGATAGCAGCTATGTTGTTTGAAATGTTTCCTATTATACTTCCATCACTCAAAACAATGTTTGGCCTATAGTAGGTTCTCAATAACTAAATGGTGAATGGCTGAATAAGCAAACAAGAAAACAAAGGGTAAGATGAAGATAGAAGCCTGCTAGTCCACACTAGGTCTTCAGTGCACTGGAACTTCTATACTTGGACACATTCAACATTCAATCACATAAGAGACTATCTGTATTTTTACATACTGTCAATTAACTTGTCTGCTCTGTTTCTTCATTTAGGTTGTAATCGCTCTATGGACAATGACTGTAATTATTCTTCTTTGAAGTCTCACAGTAGGTAGGAAAACAGTAAATACATAACAACAGCTCTACAAACAGATGTTAAACGAATGGATATAACAATGTCATTTATAGGGACAACAGATAGCAAAGGTTGCTAGAAAGATCCCAGGACTAAGAGTCAAGAAACATGTCACAGGCCTGGCTCAGTTTTTCTAACACTAGTTGAGTGACTCTAAAGGCAAGTCACCCACACTTGGGCTTCAGTTTCTTTATCTGTAAAAAGAAATCTCTAGAACCCGTTTCAGCACTAACATTTTGTAAACAAACTAACAACAACAACAAAAATCCCAAAACTTGGCTATTTCTGAGGTTACATGGCATTTCACTCACTGCCGCTAGAGGGCAGGCATAGGTAATAGAAATATAAAAAATTCCACACCCTTAAAGATACCAATACCAAACTCTTCTTTCTTTCTCTTTCTTTCTTTCTTTCTCTTTCTTTCTTTCTTTCTTTCTTTCTTTCTTTCTTTCTTTCTTTCTTTCTTTCTTTCTTTCCTTCTTTCTTCCTTCCTTCCTTTCTCTTCCTTTCTCCTCCTCCTCCTCCTCCTCCTCCTCCTTTCTTCATTTGAAGAATACTAGTCCTGCCAGGGGCCAGAGGCTCATGCCTGTAATATTAGCATCTCAGGAGGTTTGAGGATCATGATTTAAAACTAGTCAGGCCAGAAAGTCCATGAGACTCTGATCTTCAGTTAACCACCACAAAGTCAAAAGTGGAACTGTAGGTCAAGTAGTAGAGCCTTGAGTTTAAGGGCTCAAGAAAAGCACCCAAGCCCTGAATTCAAGCCCAGGACAGGCATTAAAAAAAAAGAATGCTAATCCTGTTCCATATCACTCTCAAAACTTTTACTATGTTTCCCCACTTGATGAAAAACCAATGATTTTAACACACAAAGCATGAGGAGCTCTCCTACCTAAGGACAAGATTGGAAAGTTAGATAACCATTATGCTTCTTAATGAAAATTAAGGCCAACAGCCACCATTGATAGACAGTCCCTTTTCGTCTCCTCTTGAGCTATGTATGATATATAGATATATGATTGGCAGAATGATACCTTAAAAATTAACATCAAATTATGTTATTCAGATGTGAAAGTGTGATTCAAGTAATGAATCATCAGCCTTGAGTGAAAAAGCAAAGGGACAGTGTCACTACCATGAGTTCAAGCCTCAGTAGTAGTGTGTGTGTGCATGCGCATGCGCATACACACACACACACACACACACACACACACACACACACACAAAATCACAAAATTATGTCATTCTACTGGCCAAAGCCCTAAGACTTCCTATTGCACTTTGAGTACGTGCTAACTTCTCATCGTGGTCTCATAGGCCTTACCTGATAGCACCCCAACTGACCTTCCAAGGTCTTTATCACTCTGCACAGCAGCCAAACTGGAATTCTTACTGCTCCTTGAACATACCTAGCTAGGCTTCTCAAGACCTTTGTGCTTGCTGTTCCCAGCTTATCCCCAGAAATGCAAGAGGCTCACTTTGTTTCTGCTAGGCCTCTGCTCAAATGTCACTTTAACAGAAACATCTCTGACCTCTTTAAACAGCAACTCCTTTTCGTTTTATTCTAGTTTACCATTTGCTTTTTTGTATAGTACTTAATACTACCTGGTATGACATAGATATTCATTTCTATGTTTGTTGTGTGTCTTCATGAGAAATTAAGCACCTTGACAATAGGGATATTGGGGCTTTTTTTTTTTTTACGTCTAATAAGATTCCCAATGCCTACTTCGTAGAAAGCACTCTATAAATAGGTGTGTCATGAATGATTATCATAACAAACATTCTCCCACTCAAGCCTCACAAGCACCTACACGATGAATAGTTCTGTTAATCTTAATGTGTGACTAAATGAATCTCAATTCAATGAAGAAATAAAGGACTTGGAGAAGGTAAGTAACATGGGCAAGATCAATCACAGAGCTACTGCCATATCTGGGACACAAAGTTGGTTTATGATCCTAGAACCTTACACTTAATTTCATTTTATTTATCTCTATGAAAGAAATGAACATGTTTGTTTCTTGAAAACTATCACTAAGGCCAGGAGCAGATGACTTACACCTGTAATCCTAATTACAGGGAAGACTGGGACTTGAGGATCGCAGTTCAAAGCCAGCCCTGTCCATGAAACTCCTACCTCCAAATAACTACCAAAAAAGCTGTGGCTGAAGACATAGAGCATTATCCTTGAGCAAAAAAGCTTAGGGACAGTTCCCAGGCCCTGAGTTTGAGCTCCAGGACCAACACACACACACACACACACACACACTGACAGCATATGTCCAATATATAGAGGCCTTGTTTAAAATAAAAATAAAATAATGATAAAAATGAAACAAAATAAAAATTTCTCAGTTTTCCCATGGCTAACCTACTAAAGGAGCAACAGAAGAAGTTGTAGGTTCTCTATACATCTGATCATGTGTGGTATTCTTTAAAGCTTTTCCCTTTTCCTTTGTCTCTTTAGCTTTTTCCATAGTCCTTCACTCATGGACACAGAAAGCATTTCAAGTCTTATTCTAAGCAAAAAGTGTCTGTGTTCTTCCTGGACCTCTCCCACAGCATTCTCCACCTTAAGTGAACAGTTGGCAGAAAAAGCAAAGATCTGAAAAATCAATTTCTACAACTGAAATACACATTTCTAAGAGCTTTTTTTCAAACACATCATGTTGAATACTGGCTATAACGTTTTCCTCCTAATGTAGCAACTCCACTGTCTGCTTTAAAACAGCCACTTGATGGAAAAGTAGATAATAGAAAGTGCTCTCCTGAGGATACCCAGCCCAAAGTATTTCCAAGGGCTTGTCTGATTCTTTTTTCCACATCAAAATGAGGTAGCAGAAAGACATGAAAAACCAACCTTTCACAGAAAGCTGCTGTTCATTTACCTTTAAATATTTAATGAGCTCCCCTGGAACTTCTTTGGAACCTGACTGAATCAGCTGGCAATGATGGAAGAATTTGTGCACATGCAGATCCTAGAACACAGATGGAAAGAGCCATATGAAATGAGATCTGATTCATTATTCTAAAACACAGCCTCTCCACTCCCCTCCCCCCACATCTTGCCAATCTAACCTTCCTGGCATGCTAAAGCCTGGACTCTGGCTCCAGCAACCAACCTATGTGTCCATGTCCCAAACAGTAAAGCCAGGTGAATCTGGCATGTAGCTAAGCACACAGGAGACCACAATGTATCCCCAAGCCCTTAGCATTCATTGAATCCCTTTTCCCACTGGTGTGTTCTATGAAGTTGGGTTGCCTCTCCATTTTAATGAAATAAGCAGGAACACATCTCTGAAATTATGGATTAAGAAAAGGTAGCAGCAGGAAGTTACCAGGACAATAGTCTCAAGCATTTAATTCCCAACGTTACCACAGAATTCTGTGGTGAGTCCAGATGTCTCATATGGAATCCATATACACCACTTTTCTGAACAGCTTGTATTATAGGAGGTGCAAGAATGAAATGGGAATCTTGGCCTAGGTCCTTGAATTATTACTGTGTGAGCTTGGGAAAGTCTCATAACCTGACTAGGCCTTAATTTCTTTACCTATAAAATGGGGATGATATCTCTCTAATATGTGGAATCTAGAACTAAAAGATATAAATACACACAGAGAGAAAGAGAAAGAGAGAGAGAGAGAGAAAGTAGAAAGTGAACATGATTATAACTGAGAGTATTTGGAGTGTGGGGGAAGGGAGAGGGTAAGAGATGGATGGAGGGTGAATAATATCAAAATACCTGGTATCCATGTATGAAGATAGCATAAGGAAACTTGCTAAAAGCTGTCAAATAATAGAGATGTAAGAGGGGCATGGAAAGAGAACAACAGAGGGGGTTAATTGTGAACCACAGTGAAAGCCCTCTGCAATTAATATACATTAAAGAAAATGAATGACGAGAATGTATAATGGGCTCTGTTGGGACTAGTTACAGTGGGAGGTGGAAGGTGAATAAAGAGGGTGAATGAGAGGAAATGTGATCAAGCCCTTCATATGTATGCATAAAAATAGAAAAAGAAAATGTGCTGACATAGTTTTAAGAAGGGGCAGGGGCAACAGAGGGAGTGAGCTTGATTAGAGAACATTGTATGCATATATGAAAGTAAACAATGGGAAAACATCTACTTTTACATCAACATCAAATATAAATAAAAAATAAAATATCAAAACAATGAAACTCCCTTGTATAACAATATATGCTAACAAAAATGTTAAAAGCGATGAGATTATAAGAGGAAAAAAATGGAGGATGATAGCCTCCACGAGCCTTTTCTTTTACCATTTTGTGAGGCTCAAATCAGTTAGTGAGCAAAGAAGGATTTTGTAATTCGAGAATAAAACAAAACATATGCTACAATGAAGTTATTACTAGTGAGAAAATCCTGCAGGCTACAATTTCCCTAAGGTTGTAGCAATTAAATATAGTCCATTTTGGCTGGGCACTGGTAGCTTACACCTGTAATCGTAGCTACTCAGAAGGCTGAGATTTGAGGATCACGGTTCAAAGCCAGCCTGGGCAGGAAAGTCCACGAGACTCTTATCTCCAATAAACCACTAGAAAACCAGAAGTGGTGCTGTGGCTCAAGTGGTAGAGCACTCGCCTTGAGCTGAAGAGCTGAGGGACAGTGCCCAAGCCCAGAGTTCAAGCCCCACGACCAACAAAATAAAATAATATATATATATATATTCCATTTTAATGAAGAAATGTACTTGAGAATGAAACTCTAAGTAAACTCATTGAACAATTAACTGACAAGTTTAACAAAAATGAGTATCAGAAAGCTAAAACACAGTTTGAATGGAGAGGGGCAAGTGGGTGACAAATACAGTCATTACATTAAAAAACACATGCTGGAGTATTCAAACTGACATAACTCAGATAAAACAACTTACTTGAGTATAAATAGTAGACTCTAAATGGCTTTTAATCTTCAACAAAGGTTTTGCACCATCTACCCACTTAATATCCGCATTTGATTGCTGTGAATAGAAAATACACACACTTTTTATACCATAGCAATGGATAGTTAGCAATATACAGCACCTTTTTGCATTTTAACATTTTTCAGAAATTGAATGTATTAGAGTCATATATTAGAATGAATAGGTCCTAAGTCATTTTAAATTTCCAATAATTTTAAGACTGATATTTCCATAAATTATGACCAAAATTACTTAAATAAATGGATTTTTTAAATGATGCACAAAACTCAAGACTGAGTTTTAAAAGTTACTAGAATCAGCAGATGTCAAATTATTTTATCAAGCTGCTGTAAACTCTAAACACAGACTTTTCATAATGGACTTCATTGTAGATGAGTACCAGCCCTTCAGAACCCTTTTTCATAGCATTGTCCTGAGCCATCAACTAGACCAATAGAATTATACTTTTTAAACATTAACTTATGATCACTTCAACACATGCAGAGATTTTCCTACCCTTCTTGATTCTGCATCATTCAGATTCAAGTAGCCTGGGGGAAGATTGGCTGAAACTGGCAGCTGTTGTTCAAATGTGATGATTCTACCATCCTTCAGCAAAGGCACCCAGGCAAAACCAACTGCCAAGACAATAATCAACCATAAGAAATGAAATTTTCAATGCAATTAGCTACACGAATATCTGACTGCTGAGCAGTGGAGTTTCCAGGGATCTGTATGTGGGAGCCCAGGTGTTGGGCAACTATATATGGGGAAGGAACAATACTTTTGGATGGTTTCCTAGTCCTAGCCCAACCACTAAGTAAGCTTGTTTACTCTCTTTCCTTGCCAATAAAAGTGAGAGCAACAACAGTCTTTCTGTCTAAAAGAGTTGCCAGATCATAGTGAGATAATATATGAAAACAGGTGAAAACTTAAAATGTGCATCAATTGCTTTATCATGTTATGGGATCTGTGTGTGTGTGTGTGTGTGTGTGTGTGCGTGCGCCCAGGCCCTGAGCTCAAGTCCAGGACTGGCAAAAAAAAAAAGGTAAGTACAATTCGTGTGTGTGTGTGTGTGTGTGTGTGTGTGTGTTCGCATGCAGGTCCTAGGGCTAGAAATTGGGGGCCTGGAAACTGTTTGTGAGGCTAGTGCTCTACCATTTGAGCCACAGCTCTACAACTTGCTTTTTTGCTGGCTAATTGGAGATAAGAATCTCAAGGACCTTCCTGCCTCAGTTAGCTTTGAGTTGTGATACTCACATCTTAGCCTACTGAGAAGCTAGGATTACTGAGTAGCTAGGTATGAGCCACTAGCACCTAGTCAAGGGCAGGCTTTGAACTGTGATCCTCAGATCTGTCTCCCGGGCAGCTAGGGTTACAGTGTCCAACTAGGGGATCATTTTGGGTTGACTTACTTTATAAGGTTCGGGTTTTTTAAAAAAAATCTATCCTTTCACTAAAAGTACACAATCTTTTCTTTTCTTTTTTTTTTATTGTGAAAATACTGTACAGAGGGGTTACAATTATATGGGCAAGATAATGAGTACATTTCTTATCAAGCATTGTAGCCTCCTCCTTTGTTTCCCCTTCCCATCCCATCCTCCCCTACCCCCCAACTCAGCCCTCCCCCCCCACCAAAGTTGTAAAGTTCATTTTCGACATAACAACTTGTAAGTCTCATTGTTGCAATAGGTCCACCTGTATCCCTATTTAAATGATTTGTTTTTTCCCTTCCCCTCCACAAATTATGCCAACATCAAATACAGTGAAAGCAGGGGTTATACCGTGGGGGAGAGACATACAAAACAACAAAGAAATAATCTTATAAATGCGTTAGAAACAATCGCATGAAAAAAAAACATTTGAATACATATCTTAGGGTTCATTTCCCTAACATCAATTTAACTGACCTTTTCTGCTTGACTCAGACATATACTAGTTATTGCAAATAAGGGAAACCATGGGACCTATGTTTCTTTGGGCCTGGCTTATAAAAGTACACAATATAGCTGAGACTGTCTCGGACAGCAATCACATATTCCCAAATTTCAGACTATGGAAAATTAAGGTCTTAAGTCAAGGTTATATTCTATATTTATACAAGGCAGTAGGCATAAATTATTTAGATGGGCAGATTTCCTTGATCGTGGGATGAGGAGGTAGAGTTGGATTATTAAGCCAGACCACAGTGTTTATGACTTGACTCCACTAGAGATTTTACCCAATCTCTATGTTTCTTAACAGTTCTACCCCCAAAGGAAAGTCTTGGCTTGCAATTAGAAAACTCATCATGTTGTAGCTAAAAAAGCCAGAGCCATCTGTGTTACTGAGCAGTGTCAGTATTTCCATTATAGAGATTACTCTGGGTTTCAAGTGTTTATAAGTCATCTGTAAAAAAGCTTGCTCTGAACTGAGTTTTGGCAAATGAGAGAGGGTATTGGCTAGAAAGCACTTTGCAAAGCCATTGCTTTCTGATTCTTTAAAATTCTTTGTATGAGTGCCTGTACACATGTGTGTGTGTGCATGCATGCATGTATGTTTGTGTATGTTTATACTGTGAATCCAGAAATCAACACAAATCTGGTTAGAATGTTTTCATTTATGTGTTTAATTTGGCAAATGTAATTCTTAAAAGACGGCCAAAACATTGCTTTCTCTGAGTAAAGTTTTTCTCAGACTCTCCAACATGCCTAAAGTGCTCTGTGCCAGTGTGACCTCAGAAATGAGTTTACCCAGGCTTTTATTTAACAAACAAACAAACAAACAACAAGAACAAATGAGTGCCAGTGGCCCTAGCTACTCAGAAGACTGAGATCTGAAGCTCATGGTTCAAAGCCAGGCCTGGTCTGTGAGATTTATAAGTCCAATTAACCATCAAAAGTCCAGAAGTGGAGCTGTGGGTTCAAGTGGTAGAGTGTCAGTTTTGAGTTTGAACCCCAGTACTAGCACAACACACAACTAGCACAAGAACAGAGAAAACAACAATGAGCAGAAGAACCACTAGAAATGAGTCTATCAATGTAGTTAAGTTGAAAAATTGACCAATGAGGAAAGATTTCTAGCCCAGAAACTAGGAAAATGTGTTACTTATTCTTAGATAACAAGGTTTTCTTCATAAAAATTTTGATTGAGATAGATTTCAGATATAATTTCTCCAATCAAAGGATACAAAATTGAATGGTTTTCAGTATGTCTGCAACTGGGTCTCCATTTGTAATACCATGAAACTGCAAAACATTTTTATCATCCCCCAGCGAAATATCATAGCCCTGAGCAGTCACTTCCCATTCCCTCCTTCCCCAGTGCTAGCAAATACAAGTCCACTAGCTATCACTTAGGTAGCATTGTTGCACAGTAAACGTTCAGATCATGGCCAAGTGTGTATACTAATCAAAATGCATACAGAGCACTCGGAAATCACGAATGTACAGTATCAAGCATGCCATCTGGCTCAAAGGTAGGAAGCCACTTAAAGGATGAGTTAAAACTGATGCATGGCATGAAGAATAACCATCTCATGCTTCCCTGATCACCTTGCCCACATGTAATATTTGCATAAGGAAGCCAGAATTTGTCATTCAGGAAGTACCCACTGCCATGGTTTGTCATTTTTTTGCCTGCTTTCTTCTCAATTCTCCATGTCTCTGCCCTCACAAACTGCAGTTTTTCAGAACAAGACAACACTATCTATAATAGGAACTTGTTCCTATTTAGCCCTATTGCCTGCTCACCATTACTCAGAGGTCTCACTGGCAACTCAAACTCAACATTGGTCTCAAACTTAACATGCTAATAATTTTGCTACTAAGAATATCTTCTAGCTAGGCATCAATGGCTCACACCTGTAATCCTAGCTACTCAGGAAGCTGAGATCTGAGGATTGAGGTTCAAAGCCAGCCGAGGCAAGAAAGTCCATGAGACTCAGAAAAAGCCTAAGTCGCGCTGTGGCTCAAGTGGGAGAACATTAGCCTTGAGCACAAAGAGGCTCAGGGAGAGAGCCTAGGCACTGAGTTCAAGCCCTAGGATGGGGGAAAAAAGAATATCTTCTTTTTGATCACCCAGTTTTGGCCCTTCAGTGTTTACTTTGAACCATGTATCTAGTAGTGAGGTGTGTATCAAGTCCAACAGATATCCTTTGTAATCCACAGGAGATTGACTGGTTCTAAGACCTCTTCATCAATACCAAAATCTATGGATGCCCAAGTCTCTTATATAAAATGGGATAATATTTGCATGAAGTTTACACACATCTTCCTGTACACTTCAAATCACCTCTTCATTACTGATTAATTGCAAATGCTATGTAAATTTAGTTTTCAGGGGATAATGGCAAGGAAAAACATCTGTACATATTCACTATAGATATATTTACAAAAATATTTTCAACGCACACTCATTTGAATATATTAATGAGGAACCCACAGATATTGAGGGAATGTATCCTTTTTCCTGTATTTCCCCCTTTTCCTCTGTCTCCTGATAATATCATAGTATGATTCTTTTCTTTTGCTAGACTTTATAAATAGCTCACGCCTGTAATCCTAGCTACTCAGGAGGCTGAGATCTGAGGATCACAGTTCAAAGCCAGCCCGGGCAGTTAAGTCTGTGAGACTCTTATCTCCAATAAACCAGTAGAAAAACCGGAAGTGGTGCTGTGGCTCAAGCAGTAGAGCGCTCGCCTTATGCTGAAGAGCGCAGGGACAGCGCCCAAGCCCAGAGTGCAAGCCCCAAGACCAACAACAACAACAACAAAAACTCCCTAATTGCTTTTCCTTCCATTCTTCCTGCTCAACTTACCCTGCCTTTTATCTCGCTACCTGATTCCTTTTCTCAAAACAGCTCTTACTAGTCTTTGTAATCCTTCAATAGTTCCATATTAGTGACAGTATAAAATCAATGCCATCACCTGCCTTGCATGCTTCCTACAATCTGATGCCTCCATCTCAACTTGACATTCTATGATGCCCTTCTCAGCATCTCATGCTCCAGTTTTGATGAACAACTTATAGTTCTCTGTCCATACCTCTCAACACTCCAACATTTTACAAGCTCTTCCTTCACCCCAGAATCCCACACCTACCGATCATCACTGCATTATCAAGGTCCACCATACCCTTCCAGATTTCACTCAAATACCGTCTCTTCCCAGAAGTCTTCCTTGATTTCCAGCTACTTATCTCTAGACCAACTGAATAACTAGCTCCTCTCTGAGTTCACATAGCATGACTTTCTCAGTCATCAGCACTATCTTGTATTAGAATTGTATACATAATACATAAAACTCGTTTTTCATAGTAGATATATTCACTGAGGATCTGTGTTGCATTCTTTATTCTCCATAATGGCTACTACAATATCCTATACAAATAAATACATAGAAATATTTTCTGAAATGAGTGAACAAATGAATGAATCACCCAGGCTGGCCTGAACTGCATCCCAGGGCATCCTAACAATTCATAAAGCAGGTATGACATAGGCTACATTCACCGGCCTTCCGTCTTCTCCCAAGGCCATGTCCCACTGGCTATCTAAAGCTTTGCTGAAATGGGACCAGGACTCTGTGCTGCTACTAAAGCTTATTCAATTTCATTAAATCTGTTCTCTTCTTATTAGAATTAGGCAACTCCCAGCCTCCCCCCCCCCCCCGGCTCACAGATGTCCTTGGCTCTGGGCTCACTTCCCTCTTCCTCAATAAGCAGAACTGAAAATTTTGGTTGCTGGGCAATTTTATACAAAAGAGATAACAATACAGTATCATAATATGAGTTCCTTTCTGAGAACAGCAATATTACTTTATGTTGCTTATACTAGTTTAAGCATACTGGCAAGCATTTATTTGGACAATAATATTGGTTATAAAGATAATAAAATCAACATATAATTCATCTTTTGCCAATAAACATTTCTTAGATGGGTCTTGCTATGTTGCCCAGGCTGGTCTCAAATTTCTAGGCTCACACAATCCTCCTGCTCAGCCCCTGCTGTACCACTGTAATTGATTTACCAATGCACTTTTACTTTTTATTCAAGAGGAAAAATGGTATACAGCTTGATGAGAATAGGTATGATAATCCCATTTAAAATAGCTACAGGAAGAGACATTTAAGGAGCATACAGAGCTAGGTGCTGATGGCTCACATCTGTAATTCTAGCTACTTAGGGGGTTAAGGTCTGAGGATCTGGGTTTGGAGCAACCCAGGCAGGGAAGTCCATAAGACATCTCCAATTACCACCTCCAAATCCAGAAGTGGGGAGGCATGGCTCAAGTGGTAGAGTGCCAGTCTTGAGTAAAAAGCTAAAGGACAGTGCCTAGACCCTGAGATTGAGCCCTAGTACCAGCATGTACAAAAGCATGTGTGTACATATACTTGACACGTGTACAGGCAGGTGTGTGTGCACATGCACATGAATGTGCATGCATGCATGAACACACACACACACACACACACACACACACACACACACACACCCCTAAAAAGAGCATGTGGTTCTGGGTTTGTGACTCAACACTACAAAAACAAATAAGGAAACAAACAGTATACATACCTGGAGTTTCAACTGTGTCCTGTTTTTTGGTTGTTCCCTTTGTGTTAATTTCACAACTTACATGATAAAAAGTGAAAAGCAAGTGATGTTTAGGATGCAGGTGAATGGGAAGTTCAATTTTAATCTGAAATGGCAGAAAAGTTATACATAGCATTTCGTTTTCCTTTGTTTTAATTATCATGCTGGACTGTTAGACATGTAATTCAGTTTCATCATACTGTTCCAAAATACTTCCTAAATAGCAGGCCAAGTGGCCAAATAAGGAGATTCCAAATGGTCAGTTTCAATTTGACAACAATATTCTGCTGGATTATGAGGGTTGATTCAGTACTTTTACTTGAGACTAATGAATTCTCTGACTTCAAGTTTGCAGCAGAATATTTCTAAATCTGTAGAGTAAAAATCACATTCTCACATCTCAGGGATATTGTGTAACCCAAATTGAACCAATGAAGATAATCCAGGGTTGGCAGAGAGGCTCAAGTGGTAAAGTGCCGACTTAGTAAGTGCAAGGCTTTGATTTCAAACCCTAGTACCACCAAAAAAACCCTAAATTACATTAATACAATTCATTTACAGTATGTACTGAATTTGGAAAGTTACATTCCTAAACTGTTTTTTTTTGTATGAAAAATTAAGACCTTACAAATAAACTTCCAAAAAGTCACTATATGTGGTATGTACAAATTATAGTTCAAATACATTCCTCTGGTAGAATAATACAACTTTAATCTTGCATAAATAGATAAAAACTTAACTTTTGCATAAAAAGATAAAAACAAAGCTGGGCATTGGTGGCTCATGCCCGTAATCCTACGTTCTCAGGAAGCTGAGATCTGAGGATTATGGTTTGAAGCCAGCCTGGGCAGAAAAGTCCATGAGTCTCTTATCTCTAGTTAACCCTTCAAAAGCTAGAACTGGATCTGTGGTTCCAGTGGTAGAATGTTAGCTTTGAGAAAAAAAAAAAAAAAGCTAGGGACAGTGCCCAGACTCTAAGTTCAGTCCCCAGGCTTAGCACGCATACGTGTGCGTGGACACACACACACACACACACACACACACACACACACACACACACAAAATAAAAATGATCATCTGTTACTCCAGTATTTATAATTAATGCTTTCAATAGAGTATCTTATGTAATTTTCTAATCAGAAACCCACTGTTCATAATATTCCCTGAAAGTGTGTAATAAACAAATCACAAATTAATAGACAATGTACATGTACTTATCTGTCTTTTTTATGGTGCCAGTCCTGGGGCTTGAACTCAGGGCCTAGACCCTGGCCCTGAGTTCTTTTGCTCAAGGACAGTGCTCTACCACCCGAGCCACATCTCCATATATATGCACTTATCCATACAGATACTCAAGTTTCGCCTTTTCTTTTTTGGTTAATACACAGAAAGTGATTTTTTTTTTAAAAAAAAGCTCTATTCATTTCAGGCATCCAAAAAACAATGTGGATTATTTACTATATGATCTAGTTTCTGCCCTGAGTAGCATTGGTTATAGAGATGCACACATTAAACCAAAACCAAACCAGTTTGTAATGGACATCTGGTCCAATTATTTCTCAGATGAGGCATGGTTTTGGTGTTATGACTAAGATCTGTTATAGGTATATTCACAGCATCCAGACCATCTGGATATCTAATGCTCTGCTGCACGTAAATATGGACATACTCCCTCCCTGAGTAGAAAAATACAAAGCACCACTACCTCTCTCCCCATCCCCCAAGAAATGAGGGACATTGGATCGAGAAAGCAACGAGTAACGTTTATGGCTGGGGTTTAAGGACTTCTCAAGTGAACGTGGAGAAGTCATGACAGAAGGGAGGATGATGTCAGATCAAGCCAGGAATGGAGAACATGAGGACTAAGATACAGAAACAGCAGAGCATACTGGCCTGGAATGCCAATTCAGGTTCCATGGAACCATGTATGAATCAAAAGCAGGTTACAGATTTAGATAAATACATACAGGGTAGAAATGGCTGGAACGGAGACACACTGGGAAGTGTAGAGATTCAGGATAGAGAAACTATAAGAAATAAAGAGAGACAGGGCCCAAAAGACTCAAGAGGGAGAACAGAGGCCAAGATAGGAGACCACCTACTCCTCTTTACCTGCTTCCCACTGAGATGAGATGGGCAGCCAGGGGGATTCTATGACACAGGTGTGTAGCTGCGTCTTTCAAAGAATTTCCCTTTCAAGCCGGCTGTTCCAGTCTACTGCATAAAACCCCAAAGGGAAAGAGCTAGAGGGGCTTTGAAAACAGATCTTCTTTCTTATTTTAAAGCCATAGAAATGGAGAGTCAACAAGAGGAAATGACTTTCTCGGTGTCACATAGATGCAGCCAAGGGGGTGAGAACTCTACTGCGACTCTGATGTCTCTGATGTTTTTTCCTACCTTGTTATTGCAACTCAGAGAGGCCTTTACATTTGTGGGCAAATCTTTCACTCTCAGCGAAGGGCACCAAGCAAGTAGTGGCCCTTAGATGTGACATTTTTCTGCTTTCATGAAACAAAACATTCAGAGATTGCAAGTGCAGATAAAAAATGAAAATAATTTGAAGAGAAAAAGAATAGCAACCACTGCATTTTATAAATATTGGATGATAGGGATTTTACCTCATCGTAGAACTCTGGATTTTGGTTGTGATGTGAGACAACAGCATATGCATTTGTGGTAAAAACAGACCCTGCAGGTTTTCCATAAATGCACTGCAAAAAAAGGAAACACAGTCACCACTCCAAATGTGGAATCCTCTTAGCTCTCCCCTTACCCCCTTCACCCTGGCCTGTAAGTTCTGAATCGTTTACACAGTCACTCCACATACCATTTTTGATAGTACCTAACTTGGCTGTACAATGCTTATGAACTTCTGGCCATCAAAGCAATGCAATTCCCAACTCGTTGATGATACGTAGCTAAACACGTCTTTATCATTTGGAAGGGACATCCTTTTAGACTAGGCCTATAGAACTTACTTCTCTCATGACCCTTGAGTATCCTCAATATGACAGACACTACCTCAGCCACTCAGCAACATTTTTTGGATTCTCATTGTACAGTGGACAGGGAGAAGAGTTAAAACACACACACACACACACACACACACACACACACACACACACACACACCCCACACCCCACACACACACAATCCAGCAGAAGCATTCATGGCCCAAAAGGAACTGAAAAAATGTCTATCTACAGATAAGGTTGCTAAGTCTCTTATATTTTTAAATGTGGCACTTGATGCCTCCCCCTTTTTTTCAAAATCACTGGCTTTATGTTATACTAATAAAATAAATGTAAAGCTTTCTATGGTTCCATGGAATGTCCTGAATTCAGTTATATGTAAGCTTTTCACTTCCATTGACCCAATAAACTCAAGGATGAATATGGAGTGACTGAACATGCCAACGTACTCACTGCCTCACTGATACTCCAGAGTGAGCCTCTAGGCCAGTTAAGGAATGAAACTGAGACTCCATATGAATGCATAGCCAACTCTCTGAAATACAGCTACTAAAGCCATTTTCAAGAGCTGCTGAGAGGTAACCTAAGAATCTCTAAGCACACAAAAGGATATTACACAGAGGAAAAGGAAGAGTGGTTCTCATCTCTACTGAGGGGAACTTCAGGAAAAAAATGTACTGCATTTGAGTCAGCTAATCTTTAAGCTTTTCTGTGACAAAAGAAAAAAACACACACCTATCTTCAAAGGATGGGCTATGCAATGTTGAAAAGTTTAGTCAGGGACAGTCTCTTTCTCTAGGGGATTTGTAGAAGTCTAGGTACCCTTTTGTCTGATCTAGCTGAGCCTAAGCTCAAGCTAGAAGCAAGGAGCCAGATATATACTTTATGATGGCCACATATTCTCTGAATTCCTTTCCAAGTCTCTGATTAATGGGCTAAAGAGCAAAAAAGTAAAAACCAATGATAAAGAGAAAACTGTAAAGGCACTGTGATATGACCAGTATATAAGCATTGCTATATCAATCTCAGCATAGATAACACAGATTTTGCTTTGCAGAGACTGCAAATCCAAGTTTGGAGGCAGCATTTGGCCAGCCCTGGAATGGAAGTCATATCTCAGATCAAAGCAGTCATGCTGTGCTTCTGTCAGCTCAAAAAGCCTGTTCAGATTTCAAGGAGAAAGGAGTTTATGGTCTCCTGAAGATACCATTATAAACTATCAAGTGATTTTTAAAAAATGACATTGTGGCTGAGATCTGAGTACTGTCAATTCAAAGTGGAAACATCAAAACCTGCTATGTAAAGTTTATCCATCTTGGGGAGAGGGCCAGTGCTGAGGATGAAACCATAGTTCCATCCATATTAAATTAAGTATTCACACTAAGCTAAATCCCTGGCCCAAGTTTACACACACACACACACACACACACACACACACACACAAGGATAGTGCTCTACATATACGTAATATATGTATGTATGTGTGTGTATTTATATATACATACATACATAAATATTCTCTCTCTCTCTCACACACACACACACACACATATATATTCCCATCTCGTTTTGCTATACATTAACATTTAAACTAACACAGTTCATGTTTTTTTTCTTCTTTTTGTGCTGGCCCTGGGGCTTGAAATCAGGATTGGGCACTGTCCCTGAGCTTTTGTGTTCAAGGCCAGTGCTCTACCACTTAAGCCATAGCTTTACTTCCAGCTTTTTGTTTTCGTCAGTTAAAAGAAGATAAGAATCTCATGATTTTTCCTCTGGGCTGGCTTTGGACCATGATCCTCAGATCTCAGGCTCTTGAGTAGCTAGGATTACAGGCATGAGTCATTGGTGCCCAATCCATTTTCTGATATTTGTAAACAAATTAAATTTAGAGCATGACACCATTAAGCACCCAAATCACCATTCATATACTATCATTACCAAAATTGTCACTTTATCAATGTCGGAAACAAACCTTTAGTGAGCAAGCATCACTTTCATCTGAATCTCGGAATTCCACACAGACCGCAATGTTCCTTGCCTATAATGACAAACCATCCAAAATGAGTCACACATGAGGGAGAAGATGCTATGTCACATTTTATCCTTCAAAAATGTATACTTAATACTGCTTACCTTGGCAAATGTTTTCTGGCTATCGTATTTTAATTGCAAGGGATAGACATACAGATGGTTTTTGTAAATAGTAAATGGATAACAATATTTTGTCATTTCTGGAACAAACTCTTCTACCTCCACAGTAATATTTTGACAATTCTTTTCAAAAGGCTTCAGGGGCACATATGAAGAAGTAATACAATCTATAGCAGAAAAAAAATAAATAAGCCAAGAGTGTAGAACTGAACAATTCTTACCACATTCCCATATTTATAAAAATATACATGGAACATGTTTTCAGAATGATTTAGAAACGTAATTCTTAGTAGGTGACAAAAAGTCAAACAACCACTTAAAGAGCCCAAAAGGACATGAAGGAATAGTCTGATGCTGACTTGTGGAGCCCTTCACACAAGACGTGGATAGAGATTTCATTCGAGTGACTTGCCAACTATAACACATCATAATTTTGACGAATGTAAACTCTATGCTTTCTCTCCTGTGTCTGCAAGTTAGCTTTCACTGCAAATTTTTATGGGTATAAGGAAAAGAAGCAATGGTAAATTTATGCTTCCACTTAGTTCATGGAGAGTCACTTTTAAAGTTAACTTGGTGCAGGTGCAAATTTTCACCAAAGAAATAATGGAAGCCTTTTGAAACTATAGCTCTTATGAGGTGTTACCAATAATAAATTCAATACTCCCAAGTGTGAATAATAGAAAGCCTCTGAGAAGTTCAGCAGCATGTGCTACTAGAATAGCCACTGGTGTAAAGATTACGCTTATACCTAGGGCTGCAAGACTGTGTGTCCTTACTGCAGAGACATGGTGATGGATATGGAAGACCCAGGATGAACTGGACCTAAGGACACAGTATTTTTGTTGGGTTTGTCTTTGATTACTGAAGTCACCATAATTATAATAAAACATCTGGAGTATAGAATAAATTTACTCAGTTGTAATTACCTAGAGATTACTATTAACACTCTGATTTCGTCTAGTCATGTTTCCTCCTCCTCCTCTTCACCTCTCCTCTCCCCTTCTCACTGTCTCTCTGGCTGTGTCTCTCTGCAATACTGGGGTTTGAACTCAGAGCCTCATGCTTGTTAGGCAGGTGTTCTACCACTGAGCCATCCATCTATTTTTAGCTTTGATTGGTTTCAGCTTGGCTTTTATCTCCTGCCTAAGCCTACACCTGGATCACGATCTGCCATATTTTATACTTCCTGCTGTAGATGGGATGACAAACACAAGCCACCATCCCCAGGGTCTTCTTTTGTGATGGAGTCTTGCAAACTTTTTTGGCTTGGGTTGGCCTAGAGTCACAATCCTATGTCTTCAGCCTCTCAAGTAGCTGAGATGACAGTCATGCCACTGTGCCATGGCTACTGCTCCTAGTGTTCTTTCTATGAATCTTTTTATGTAGTATGTCTCATACTGTATGTACAAAAACCTAACCTTGAGTTTTTGACAATTTATTGAGTATACATTTTCAGTGGCTGCATAAAGTTCATAGTATTGTGCCAAAACTGCTTTAATCACAATGACCCTGCTCAATTCTGCTTGATTCCAACTCTCATAATATCATTAGGAAGAAGAATATCTGTATGCATAAACTCTTGCCAGTACTTCAAATTATTTCTTTAGGAAAGAATCATTCATTGTATATTTTTTTCTGGTCCTAGGGCTTGAACTCTGGGCTTGGGCACTCTCCCTGAACTTTTGTGCTCAAGACTAGCACTCTACCACTTGAGCCACACCTCCACTTCTGGCTTTTTGGTGGTTAATTGGACATGAGAGTCTCATGGGTTTTCCTGCTAAGACTGGCTTTGAATTGTGATCCTCAGATTTTAGCTTCCTGGGCAGGATTTCAGGTCTAAGCCACTGGTGCCTGGCTCCACTGTACTTTTAGATGTTTTAAAGTATGAACCAAAGGCCAATGCCTGCTTACAATCCTTTGATGACTTGTCTTTGCACTTAAATAAAATAAAAAGTTTTTAGGGCACTACCATGGTCTATACAATTCTCTGTATGACCTAATAATTTCAACTTTATCTTATTGCTTCTATCTCTCTCTATACTAAAGCCACATTGACTTCCTTTTTGTTCATATAAACCAAGCTTCCTCCCACCTCAAGGCATTTATAACATACATGACCTAGACCGTACAGTCACACTCACCACACGCTGACTTTTTCTCCTCTTTTTATTTCTTGAGCTTGAGAGAGGCCTTCCATGACCACCTTTGTAAAGTAGCCCACCCCTTTTATAAGCAGAGATCCCTTGTTTGCTTGTTTACTATCTGTTGTTTCTTTTAGATTTTAAATTGCACACATTTAAAACATCTAGTTGGTATTCAATAAATGGATAGGATCTCAAAATTCAGATACCTTAGTTACAGAAACTTATTAATATCTCTATACCCAAATTATACTCCCATTCGTGCTAGGTGATGGTATATAGTCACACTTGACCAGAATTAGATAATCCCTTTGCTTTATTTTATTTTAGATTTTGGTGAGGGATAAAACCCAGAACATTATACCATGTAATCTACCACTAAGCTACAACCCTAACCTACGAGCTCCACTTTAAGCATTTTTCTAAATTTGATCAATAAGCAAAAGCATCTTGTTATAATTTGCATTACTGGCATGATTACTGAGATTGAATCTTTGTCAAATATTTCCTAGCCACTTCATTATATCCCTTAGAAACTTGCTTTTATTTTTGGTCTTCTGTACAGTTTTCTTCTGGGATCCTAGAATCTAGTCCTTAGGCAAGAAATTCTCTTCCTTTGTCATCTCTTAGTTGATACAAAGAAACTTATCCAAGGCAAAAAGAATAGAAACTAAAAGCGCATACCCACAATAGAAGCTGTATTTGAAACATGATAAAATCAACTTGCTTTCTATCTGTATTCACCATGCATACTGGATTGAGTAGTTTCTCCCCCTAAATTCACATTCGCCTGTAATTTCTGAATGTAACTTTATTTGGAAATAAGGTCTTTCCAAATGTAATTAGCTATGGTAAGTTCATACTTAATTAGGACTGACCCTAAATCCAATGACTTGTGCTCTTATAAAAAGGACACAGAGGGAAGAAGGCCATGTGATGAATGTGGTACACAATGGAATGATGCAGCTATAAGCTATGGGATGCCAAAATATCCAGGTGTTGCTAGAAGCTAGAAGGAAACAAGGAACCTAGAGCATTCAGAAGAAGCATGGCTCTGCCAATACCTTGATGTTGGATTTCTAATTTTCAGAACTGTAGAACAATATATTTCTGTAGTCTTTTTTTTTTTTTTTGGTCCAGTCGTGGGGCCTGAACTCTGGGCCTGGGTGCTGTCCCTCAGCTCTTCAGCTCAAGGCTAGCGCTCTACCACTT